CAAATGCGTGTTGAAATACGAACTTATCAAATTCCCCCACACTTAAGCCTTTGCTTGTCCTCAAGCAAACTGAACAACGGGACTTACGATAATTACCACACGGAATTCAAAACAGTTAACATGCACACGTAGTTAAAGGGATATTCACAGGAAATACAATCTAAACCAAGAAAATTCTTCCCTAAACTACATCTTTGTACTCAAGCCAAACTATTTGACACAATTATTCACAACATCCTCAAAGTAATGACAACATACACAAATAAGCTAGCTACTAATCAGAAGGACTTGTGAATTTGATGGTGAATGGTTAATGATAATAGTCCCTTTTATTTTGAGAGATAGGAATATTCTAACAAAGACTTAATGTATTTAGGAACGTCAGGGTTATTCTTAGGGACAGGGAACTCAGTAGGCCACAAATTAGGAACAATCATTTAATCCTATGCAAAGAGTAGACATGGTGTACAACTAAGCTAAACCGTCTCGGCACATTTGTGCTTTAACGTATACTTGAAGTACGCGGAGGACTAAAGATAATTTTTTCAATCGCCTCCAAGTTCATTGATTATGTTTAGTTTTCCTTGTCATGTTGGCACGAGAACGCCGTTTCTTTCGAAAGATACCCAAGTCTCATCTTACGCTTTTTGACCAGGGCTCCCATTCTCTTTTTCTCAAGGTAAGAGGTCTAGTTATATTAATTTTTCACCTTTCGGATTCTTACTAGACATTACCCCATTCTAATCTCGCCCTCACCAAGGAAAAATAGCAATTAAAGTTCATTAATTTCAAAGTGAATCCATGCCTACAATGCAATCCTCGAAAGTATCATATTCCTAAAAGATGACTGCTCTTACCCCATTTGGGGCATAGGAACAATGCTAAAAATGGCTCCTACACAAAATTCCCTAAACTTGGCAAATTAATCCCTTAATTCCCTAAACATCGAGACTAAGTCAGAAATATTCACAGGTAAGGAACACAGGCCATTTTGCTATGAAGCTCAATTAATTGGGTAACAAAGAACGGTCAGGCTCAAAGTGGCTTCTCCTAAAGGAACTTATTCAGGTCAAATGGGAATTTTGTTAATTCATTCAATGGGTGACTAATGCCTTCATCCTCTCAGTAACTGGAATATATTGCTAGCACTTTTAAGTCTAAACACTTCAAAGATGTCATAAAAACATAGTCAAAACGCTAGCCAGCTCACAAAGACACGGTTTAAAGAAAAATTTTCAAAAATTTTGACATGAATTTTCTATGAATATACAACTAACACCTGTGCATGCTAACTCTAATAATCACATGTAACAACTACTGCCCGAATGTCCAATTCACTCCCCCACACTTAAACTTTGGCATAGTCCTCGATGACAAAAAATGCACCATGCACAACTTAACTTAACTATGCCACACTTAATAGGGTCACGCGTGCTCAACTTAACTCAAGTCAATTATTACAAACAGGCGATTATTAGAGTCACAGAAACTTCCCTAAGGCGTTGGTCGATGCAGAACTAAACTGAGTCAATGTAATCCTCGGCACATCACCCATACAACAAGACCCTGAGCTGCAACAAAAACACAAAGCAAAACAACCAAACAACAAACAAAGCAAAAGCAAAATCAAAAACAGAAATAAGCTCGGGTTGCCTCCCGAGAAGCGCTATTTTTAACGTCGTGTGCCCGACGATACCTCATAAGCTCTCAAATTGCAAAGACATCAGTGGTGCACTAATAGTCAACATCTCCAGCTTCCTCTCAACAAATGCCATTAGATGGCGCAGATTCTTAAATTCTTGAAAACACGTAGGAAGCGCATGGTCTTCATAATCCTCATCAGCACAGAAGTGAAGTATGAAACTCTCATCATCTTCAGGTGGACAGAAAACATGAGTGAAAACTTTGATTACTCTAGGTATCACCGGAAGCTCAAAAGATGTCTCAAAGCAAGGAGTAGGAGCAACACCGTAATCAAACTGCACCATAGAAAAGTCTTCTTCTTCCTCACAAATATCATGAAAATTCACAACCTCTCCTCTGTACTCTGTATCACTCCCCATGCAGGCATCCCAACTCTCGTTAACATCGTTCTTATCAATAACTTCCCGGATGATGTTGTCATTCTCCACACAAAAAGGAATATCGTCATCAAGGAGTGAATCAAAGAAGTCCATATCTGAAACCACGTAAGAGTGGACCGGTGCATGTGTACAAGAGGGAAATTCTTGCTTCTGGAGCGGGACTTCTTCATTATGAACATCATGTAACTCGCCCTCACTCTATTGAAGCATGTAATCATCTTTTCCCAACTCATCTTCAATACCCAAACCTACCTCAGTAGCTGCATCAACGTCATGACTGATCTTCTTCTTGCCCTCCTTAGGTGTTGAGACTAATGATAAATCGAACGGCTGGGGGGATTCTGTATGAAAATCACAATGATTTGTGACTTTATCAGTTACAGCTTGTACCGTTTCAAACTTTTTCCTGTATTCTTGGAAAAACAACTTGACACTACTATCTTCTTCATCATCTTCAACCATAGTTGGGTCTTCAAAGGCATCAGGAAGTGTATCATCCATCATATTCCCACCTTCGCAGTCCGACTCACTCACATGATCATCCCTATTGGTCTCCTCAGGTTGGGCTTCTGTGTCGCTAGGATGGGATCTCTCGGACTCCTCAGATAAAGCCTTTGCAATCTGCCCCAATTGATTCTCCATGTTCTGCATCCTTGAGTCCGCTCTATGCTGAATTTGCACTAATTGTTCGAGTGATTCTTCCAAGCTAGAAAGTCTCTTTAAATCTGCCTCCTCCTGATCCTCTTGTTGATAATGAGGCTCATTACTCGGGAAGTATGTAGGAGTGACTGAAACATTTGTGTTCGTAAATTGTGGGGAGGAAGAAGTTGGGTATGCAGTTGCCCAGTAAGGATGGTCGTATGGAGGAATGGGGCAAAGACATGAATGGTGACCACCTCCATAAAAGGCACAAATGCTATTTTTAGGAAAGCAATCAACCAATTCCTCGGGACTTTTAGTTTGAATGAGAAATTCCATTATGGAGCCTGGTTTTGTCCGAGGATATTGTGGATAAGGATACTGATTAGGAGAATGAGATTGGGAGTATTGCGTATTTGGAAGAGGGTAAGAATAGGAAGATGGAAACTTTTGTGGTGTTGGAGAATAATTTTGATGAGGTGTGTAATATTGAGGAGGAGGAGGAGTGTAAGGAGGGTATGGCGTATATGGTGAAAATTCCATGGAGGTTTGGGGAAAAGGACTTCCTCCAGGAATTTGGCTGAATGGGTTCATCTCATGCCTCTTTGAAAAAAAACCTGAAAGGTTAGCACAGAAAATCCTACGAAGAACTAAAAACAAAACTAACTAAAAAAATCTCGCTGAAATTAATTAACCCTTAAAACCGACACCGTCCCCGGCAACGGCGCCAAAAACTGATGTGTGTTTTCTCGCACTTAAAAATGATGTAGTAAAGTGGTTGAAAGTACGAGTATCGTCTCCACAGGGACGGACAAAAGGGAATTAAAGATTAACTAAATTCAGCGAATAAAAATAAAAAATAAAAATAAAATGCAACTGTGCGAGATTGATTGATTGAATAAAAATTAAATTAAACTAATGCGAATGAGCGAATAAGATAAATGTTTGGTTTCTTTCTAATTAACGACAAAGGGAACAGGGATTGATTCCGGGGTAATCAGATTTCTGGCAGAACAGGCTTAATTACATGAATTTGATTTAATTGAGCCTAGCTAATCATTACTAAGTTCTTACCGCTCTCGCGGCGTAGAGTACAATAATTTAGGGGACCAGGCTGATCTCTCATGCGACAGGATCCTAAATTATTGCCAAGACGAGCGAGCTTACGGCTCCTTAATCGCTACTAATCTCTTAGCGAACGATTAAGTGTGTGTGAAGGTGACCTAGAATAAATTAGATCTCTCTTAATTCATTCTACATGCAATTGTAATTCTAGCCGCGGTTCCAGGTTACAAAAGATATCAGTTAAATTATTCAAACACAAATTAAACGGCATTCATGCAATTAAACCGACAAGAATCTAGCCATCAATCATGATTAACCCCTTCATCAATCCCAAATCCCTAATTAAACTACTCACAATTCATAATTGAAGAATCAACAGAATTAGGATGAATAGAAATAATTGTCATTAATTAAAAAGATAGAACTTACAAAGAATCCCTTAATCTTGAAGAACAAGGCTTGAAAAGCTCTCAAAAATCGAAATAGGGTTTATCTCTCTAAGCTCATAAGTCAAAAACAGGCAAAACAGGGGTCTATTTATAGAAAAATCCGAAAACAGGCCGAAAATCAGGCCGCGCGGTCGTCCGCACGCCGTGCGGGTCACCGCGCGGTCACGCGCGCGTTTTTCTGTCTTCCGACTTTCGCTCCGCCCACGCGGTGTGCGGGCGCCGCACTATGCAACCGCGCGGGTACTTCTGGGGGCGATTTCTGGACCGCGCGGTGTGCGGTTTCGGCCGCGCGGTGTGCGGTTCAGACCCCTCAACTATTTGCTCTCAGAATCGTCCGCGGGGCGTGCGGAACCGCACCGCGGGGCGCGCGGAATGCTCTTGGACCGTTTTCTTGCTATTTTCTTCCCCGTTTGCTCCCGATCGATCCTATCTTCAATCTTCAACCTTCCAAACCTTAAATCATGCCTTTAAATCACCCCATGGACCTCCGATGCCTCTAACTAGCTCTCAATCATATCCCGAATCTTCTCAACTTTAGCTCAAATGCTGATGTCTAGTCCGATTTCTTTCTTTTCTTCAACGAATGCAAACCAAACTCGGAAAAATCGTGACTTGAGCTAAATAAATACTTTGTGACCCAAATAAATTAGGAAAAGTGACAAAACTCAATCTCAACACACATCAAATGCGTGTTGAAATACGAACTTATCAATCTCACACACTTCTTTTTAGTAAAATTTGATTTTTTAACAGCAGAGATAGACAAAATTTGTTTGTGGTCTCTATCGTAAAAATTCAAATTTACGATAGATATTTTTTATTTGTGAATAAACTATACAGAAATTTACTAATTTTTGAAATTAATAAATTCATAAAGACAATCTTTTAAAAATTTTAAAACGACATAGACGGTACTTTTTACTCACAGCACAAACAATAAATCTAGTAACTCCAACTCTAGCTTTTATTCGATCTTGAAAAGTGATTATGAAAAAGGTAAGATGGAAGATCCATTCTTTGCAGCTTGATTTTCCTTGGTTTTCTGAATCCTCAACACCTTTTTCACAATCTTCTCCTCTTCCACCACGAATGCTCTAATAATTATTTCCCTCACAACACTGCCTGATAGGACTCCACCATAAGCACGGTTAACATTTCTTCTGCTTTCGGATAATCTAGACCTCTTGTTTTTCGTTTGAAACACTAGCTTCCACCCTGGTGTTTTGACAACACGGTGCTGGTTTAATTTCATGGCATAGGAATAGCGTGAGCGGTATACGAGCTGTTGCACTATTTTTCCCTTTCTATCTTGAAGGCCTAAGCTGCAACATAGAGATGAAGGGTAAGATGGAACTTAACACAAGATAATATGATGAAGATGGAAGATGATGAAACAAATGCAAATAGTGAAGATGGGAGCTATCAATAAAAGGGATTTGAAATTTTGAGAGTAGCTTCTAAGAAGATTTGAGAATTAGAAGGAAAATGAAAGGGATAGGTGGAAGCTGTAGATGATGTTTACTAAAATCCAACGGATGATATGAAAAGTCGGGTGAACAGGATTTTTTGGGGGAATTGTAGTGCTATTAAGGGGAGGATTGTAGTTTGTGCTTTGGAATTCAATGAATGTAACATTTAAATTTCTAGTCAGCTTGCTTAATGAAATTTGTTCTGAATGTAAATTTTGTGAGCTGCGAATGGTTTATAATTTATGTTCCCTAAATATAAATTTTGTGAGTTAATGAATGGTTTATAAGTTGGGTAATATGAGTAAGCATAACCTTTGTTCAGCTTTCACCTTTCTGAAATATGACAAACGGATTATAATTATCTTTCTGGTTTAAAGTATGAACCACAAACGTGAAATATGACGGCTTAAGGTGAAGTATAGTTTAATGTTTAAAGAGAATATTACTCAAAATAGGACTAAAAAAGTTTTAAAATTCCAAAATAGGATTGTCATGTTTTTATTCCCAAAATAGGACTAATTACTGCCATGTTTCGGCAGTATCAGACTTCAAACATGGCAGTATTTTCCAAATTTGGCAGTAATTACTCCTATTTTGGGAATAAAAACATGGCAGTCCTATTTTGGAATTTTCAAACTTATTTAGTCCTATTTTGGGAACTTTCCCATGTTTAAATTATGTTATTAACAAGTTCAACCATATAACCTCCTTACCAAATAACCTTCTTTTACTTTCAGTTTTCCAAGCATTAATGTATAATAGATTAAAACATTAATATATTCTGCCATATAACCTTTTTACTAAATTTTCAGTCTAGTAACCTTTCATAGATATAACAGATTAGTTTATATGCTTTCCCATAAATATTTATGCTTATTCAGCCATATAACCTTCTTACTAAATATTATTTCGTATTCCTGACAGATTTAATAGTGTTAAAGTCATTTGATATTACAACAGTATACACTCTCCCAGTTCAGTTGTATCAAGTTCAGTATCACTACACAAACACACATTAAAGATGAACATTGACTTTTCCATGATTATCAATTGACATTACCTCACAACTACATCAGAAAATGAAGTCCAAACCACCATATATTACATTAGAATAACTAAACTCAAACTTCACTCAGTTACATGAGAATATGAAGTCAAAAACACCATGCATTACACCAAAACATCAGATATGGCAAGATATGGCAAAAGTCACAACACCATATATATCACTTAAGTTTACATTACATCAAAATATCAGATATTGCAAAAGCCATACGACCATATGTATCACTTAAGTTGACATTACTTGAAAACAACATTACTGATAAGTCACATATGTTACATAATTCACAAAACAAAATGACATGCACATGCTTCACAAACATAATCTGCCACCATGCACTTGTAGGAAGGATATCTGTTATGACGCATTGACTGCACTTCATCACCATTGACTGATTTAGTTTTACATAAATAGGTGGGTGAATTATTAAAAGAGTACAACCTTGTGTATTCATCACAATCATCCTCTTCTTCTGCGCAATAATCATAAAACACTATTTAGTTAACAAACTTCATTACTTGAAACATTGAAGAATAAATCTTCCAAATAATTCATAAAAGGGTTTAATATAAAATATATCAAAATCTCTATTGAGTTAAGTTTCTATAAAACATTATGAGAAGGATCATCCGCATACTTTCACATATTTTCACGGCTCACATGCATGCTTACTTTCTTTTTATGTCTTCATTGCTCTCAAACTACATCCATCTCTCTAGGAAAAGTGGAGGTGAAAATAAAAGTGTGACCTCCTTCACGACTTCACTTTCTTCTTTTCCAAATTGTTTGAATAAGCTTTTTCAGAAGTAATACAGTAGTAAAAAGCCGTTAGCAATTACTGCATTGAATCAGCCTTGTTACTTGTTAGAACACACAGTCCTTTTGAACTTTCCTACGTGGCACCCACTTTATGAAAATATGTACTGAGACTTTGGGGAATCTTAGAAGCATTTTTGTAAAAGGATATGTACAACTAAGATGTACCCTCATCGGCTAAGTGAACGCAGAAACATTTTGTGGATCTGGTAGATTATGGCAAAGGAAAAGAACTAATAAAAGGCAACGTATAAGGTGGAAATGTTAAGGCCTGTTGTGTGCTTGTTTAAAAAACCTTTTCACCTCATGCATTTAAATGCGTAAAGCAAGCTGCACAAGAACAAACATGCAGGAAATATAAATTTAAGAAAGAAAGAAAGGAAACGAGTTGAACGATTCTACCTTGAATTGGGCATACGATATATGTCTATAGTAAGGGAGTTTGCTGGATCGAGGTTGGGGCGTTGAAGGAAGCAGTGATTGGACCTGACTGGGAGTTTTGGTGCAAATGCTTTTCATAGATTCCGAAGGCAACCGTGGATCTGCGAAGGCTAGGGTTGCGAGATCTGAGTTTCCTATGATTGGGTTGGCTGAGCTGGCTTTGATGGTGTTTGAGACAAGAGTTGTAGCAGCTGTGTTTGATCCAGGTGGAACGCTGGCGGCAAGGACCTTGGTTAGAGGAGGTGAATTTGGACTAAAATCGGCTGTTGGGGGATCGGCGTGGTTGTGCTGGCCGCCTCAGGTGGTGGGGGAAGAAGATGGGTTATGTATGATTCGTCCCCCTCCTGAACCGCCGCCGCCGCAAAGGAATTACGCAATTAAGGCCCGAAAGACGCAACTGCTATTTTTTAATTTTTGCTGTGTCCTTTTCGCTAAGCTTTATTTTGATTCTATTAGGGCAAATAATAAGGGTGATAGGTTATTAGTTTGGTTTACTTTAGTTGGTAGATTTTTTGTTAGAGGCAGTCAGGCTGATTCAGCCGCTAATAGGCTTAAAGCTCTCACATTTTCAGCGATTAGTCTCGCTCCTGTTGGGGTGGACTATTCTATGTCTGATGAAGAAGTGAGAGGGCCGGTGGGCTTCTGGTTATGTTTGGTTAGAGGGAGGTTAGTGTCGGGTGATTACGTTAATGTTTTGCAACTTCTCCGGGATGTACTACGAGTTTTTGATTTAATATAATATGCCAGTTTCCTTTCAAAAAAATCTCATTTCTTCTCAATAGGAAAGAAAAAACCTTCCGTCCAGAATACGATCAAACCCATAATGTCGAGAATCCTTCTGGCGGACAAACCCAAAATGCTAAAAACTTTTGGCCATCAAACGCTTGGAAAATTTCCCGAAGTAGATTTTTTTGGCTAGGTCTAAAGGGGAATATAGGCTGATTTAAGGACAGGAGCTCTCGAACCCCGTAACTCCGTGCTTGGTAAGGAAGAATTGCATGTTAAGCATAAGATTGCATTCCTAGTGTGAACCTTTGATACGACATCATACAAATCAGTGGCGAGAGAGGGAGACAATGCATTGGCACGTGAAGCAGTGTCTTTCCTTTCATCCCAAGAACTGTGATATCGGCTAGATGGTTATTTCCTAATAGACACTCGAGGTAAACGCTTTCGGCCAGATGATGATTTTATGGGGAGATGAGTGAGACTCTAGCTAGATTATTCTCAACATTTTCTGAGGAGCTTCACGATTTGGGAAGAATGAATAAAAAACTAGGGATGATACAAACTATCAATAAAAGGGATTTGAGATTTTGAGAGTAGTTTCTGGCAAGATTTGAGAATTAGAAGAAAAATGAACGGGAAAGGTGAAAGCCATAGATGATATTTACTAAAATCCAACGGATGATATGAAAGGTCGGTGAGCGGGAACTTTTTTGGGGGAATTGTAGTGCTATACTGCTGTTAAGGGGAGGATTTGAGATTTTGAGAGTAGTTTCTGGAAAGATTTGAGAATTAGAAGGAAAATGAAAGGGAAAGGTGAAAGTCGTATATGATGTTTACTAAAATACAACATATGATATGAAGAGTCAGGTGAGCGGGAATTTTTTAAAGGAATTGTAGTGCTATTAAGGGGAGGATTAAGGGGAGGATTTGAGAATTAGAAGGAAAGGGAAAGCGAAAGGTGAAAGTCGTAGATGATGTTTACTAAAATCCAACGGATGATATGAAGAGTCAGGTGAGCGCGAACGTTTTTGGGGAATTGTATTGCTATTAAGGGGAGGATTGGGCCGGCCAATTGCTCGATCAGTCTAATATCCCAATGTCCTTTTATTTTGTTAAAACTCGCATCAACTCCATATCCATTTTATATTATGGGACAGAGGTAGTATTGTTCTTTTTTTAAACACTCCCCTAGTCGGTGATAACTTACTCACCTACCCTTTTCACACCTTATAGAAACCTAAAAAGTTAAGCCGGGAGAATTCGGGAAAATAGCCCTAAATTGGAGTTAATTAATTCCTAAATACACAAATAGGACCATGTTGATTATCTTACCAAAATAGAACTAATATATACTCCATCTTCCAATTCCTATTCTTACCTTACACTAACTTAATAGGAAAACCATATTTTGATATGTTATAAAACATAAAAATATTTTAATTTACAATAACATATCAACAAAATATTAAAAATTCACAATTATTTATTTAAGATAAGAAAATGATAAAAATTAAAAGGATTTACAAAATTCAAAAAACAAAAACTTTAAAATAAATAAATCGGATAAAACACATAAAAATATAACAAAAATGATGGCCTTTCCCGCAATCTCTGCCACCTCAAAGCAAAGCCATCTCCGGTCGATAAAAATGTCATTTTATGTGAAATATGTCATTTTTCTCTAAAAATGTCAAGAATATGACTTTTTTACTCTTTGATATGCCAATTTTCTCTAAAATTGCCATCAAGATGACATTGCTTACGCATGTTGGTATTTTTTTGCTGATGTTCGAAGCTGGTGGTGCTGGAAGGTTGTTGAGACAGTGTCAGAGGCTTGCATGTTTTTTAATGTTTTTTACGTTTCTTATTTGAATTATTTAATTTTTTTAATTTGGATTTTTTTTCTAATTTTTTATTTTTTTGAATTTTATTTCATATTTATTTTCGTGCATCTTATTTTTTACATTTTTTTCATAAGTAAATTTATGTTTTTTTTTTTAACTATTAAAGAACTATGAATTGCATTAAAACAAAGCAATGGCAGGACTGAAACATAGTCTAATTTAGAGAATTTAAAGCTATACTCCTATTCTTGCAATTAAAGTTTCATTTAGTCTTATTTGAGAAATTTCCCCTAAGAATAAAGATATAAAAAGTGACCGTTTGACTTCTTTTTTAAGTGAAAAAGCAAATTTTATTTTATGATAGCGAAAAGGAAGGTCGTAGGACTACCGATGGGCCTTTTTATTCCAATATTACTAAAATGAATGAAAAAGATTAAAAAAAAAGTGATTTTTTTTTAAATTTTTCCAAAAATGTGACTAAAAGTCATTTATTCATTATATTTGATCATATATTTATTTTTTAATATTCCTTTTATAAATTTGTAGCCACCAGCACCTCCAGACCGCCGACCCCAGCACCATCAATGCCGCCACCGGCACCTCAGCCGCCGGCGCCCCGTCAGTTAGTCACTATCTCAGTGACTCCGGCCAAAGTGACTCTAGCCACAGTGACTCCGTCGCCACAGTGACTCTGACCATAGTGACACCCGATTCCGGCCACAGTGAATTCGCCCACCGTGACAGCTCGTCCACCGACCATAGTGACTGCCTACCCACCTACCACATTGACTGCCCGCCGGCCGGCCACAGTGACTGCCCGCCCAACTCCATCACCGCCGAAAACCACCACCTCCCACCATCGCCTGCCGCCACCGCTGGCCGTCTATCCCAGCCCCTCACATACACCAACCCCAGCCTCTCCCCTGCATCACCCAGACCTCACAACAGCCCCCAACCCCGACCAGACCTTGCACAACCGCATTGCGCGACCCCCACCCCTAGCCGTCGCAAACACCCCTGCTCCCACATAATCGCGAGCCCGTCGCGGCCAGGACATCGCCGCCGCCGCCTCTGGTAACCCTAGTCGGCGTCGCAGATCTATTGAGGACGACGAATCTAGCAGTGGAGATGGGCATCGATGATGACTGAACTAGTGGCGGCGGTCATCGAGGAAGCCTGAACCGGCGGCGGCCATCGAGGAAGTCTTAACTAGCGGTGGCGGCCATCGAGGGTGACGCCTTGATCTTCGTTGCTGGTGGATGCTGTTTGTGGTCGAGGAGCGATGGAGAATTCGAAGGTGCTTGGGAGCTGCGATGGATGAAGTGTCGTAGGCGTGGAGATGGGGAGTTTGCGATGGATCAAGGAGGGCTGCGAATTGCGAATTTGGGAATTTGGAAAGGAGAGATCGGTTACAGGAAGAGTCAAACTCATATTTTAGGAAAAAGAAAAATAAGTCATATTTTTAGAAATGGAAAGTTAATTAGTTATATTGAGGCAATTATTTCTAAAAGAAAAGAACCGTTCTCAAAAAAAGGACTAATGAAGTGTATGTGACTTCAAAAAATGAATGGTCTGTGCACAGATAATTTGAGATCAAATACATTCCCCCTTACTAAGCTCAAGACTCAAGTGTAATCGCCTGTGCATAGAAAATTACATAGTCATGACAATGGGTCCGGGCGGGGCGGGTACTGCAAGACCCGTACCCACCCTGTGACTTCACTAGGTGGGCCCACCCTGTGACCCGCACGAGTCCAAACTTGTTGACCCATGACCCGCCCCGCCCCGCTATAACCTAATTAGCTAGTATGCATTTCTATTTGTGTGAAGTTTTTACTGCTTGAATCTACATAAAGTTTATTTTTAAATAATTATTTAAAAAGTAATATACTTAATCAAAGTCACAATATGCTAAAAAAATTAAAAATTAAGAAAAAAGCACTTAGACTTGAATAATTAATCTATTTGTATTACTCCCTCCGTATTTATAAGTTCACTACAATGAAGAATTCTTGGTGTACACGTTTTTATACCCATCAGTACACGCATGTGTCTGTGAGAGTATTTTTTTTCCTGTGAAGCGCAGTCCACATTCATAAGTTGACTTGTTTTGTCTGTGAAATTTTCCACAGACAAAACAAGCCAGCTTTTGTCCGTGGACTGCGCTTCACAGACAAAAAATAACTCTAACAGACACATGCGTGTACTGATGGGTATAAAAACGTGTACAAAAGGAAATTTTCTCACTACAATAGCATTAGGCACATTATTTAAGAAAGAAGTAGTAGGAGTAATGAATAGTGTAGAAAAAGTTGGAGAGAGTGTAAAAGTATGAAAGAGAAGATAAAAAGTAGGAAAAATAAGGGTAGTTGAGTAGTTTTAAAGGAAAAATTTACCAAAAAGGGAAAGTATCGCAAACTTTTAAATACATTCTAAAAAAGAAAGTGTAACAAACTTTAAAATACGGAGGGAGTAATTAAAATATTTATATTATATAAAGTAGCAAAGTTGCTACTACTTTTGGAGGGAATTTTGCCGCCCAAAATAAGGGTATAATGGGAATTAATGTGAAAAATAACTGAACTCCCGCCCATGCATCATGTCTACGTTATTAATTTGGTAAGTTCATTAGTGTCAACGTCATTTATTGGTAAGGTTACTAATTTGGAAGTGGATATCACGGTGGAAATGACTGCCCATATTTTGGGCATTAAAATGCATTAATGTATTGCCAAATTTTTATAATTCCTACTAATTAGACAAAGATATGTACGTATAGAATGTTGAGTAAGACATATGTAGTAGTGAGTATATAAAGCATAGTAGAGTAATTAAGACAGCCACATATGAAAGAATGGTAAGGTGTGATCACACCCATTTTTATTTATAATACACCTATAAAGTATAAGTACATTTTGAGAAGAAGTGATGAAACAATTATTAAGAAAAATGTGTTTATGCATGTGGGGTTGATTGAATTGATAACTTGAGAATAAAGTAAAAATGATCGCAAAACTTTATCTAATTTGATATGAGACAACCTTAGTCAAATTTCCTAACAAAGTTAAATTGTACAATCTTAGTAGGACGAAGGAAGTAATAAAGATAAAGTGTATAATTTAAAGTACTAAATAGATACTCCGTATTAAATAAGGTAAAGTATATGATCTGCCGCATGGGAACAATATTGAAATCTGAAAAGAAAAAAGAACATTCATATAGAGAGTAGAATGCAAAATGCATATGCCCCTACTAAAATATTACAGTTCCATTTGCAAATTCTATTTCCAAATTGAAGTGAGTTGTTGATCGGAAAAATATCTATCACCGCTTTTTGAAAATCAGGTATAATAATTTTATCACAGTCGTGTAAAAATATTTGTTAATCATGCCTGTCAAAATTGTGAATCTCGATGAAATTCAACCCGGAAGCATTGAATGGAAAATTCGTGTACGTGTGTGATACAATTATGACAAGTTGCGTAGTATAAAAAGACCAAATACGTAACATTACAATTATTTTTCTAATTGAATTACTTTAAATTATTGTAGAAACCAAAGGAATTACTACGTATTATTTTTATTACAAATGTGAATAATTATATTTTACCGCAAAATAATATCACGATCCTAATTTAAATATCTTTAAAATTACACTCTGTCATTCAAAGTGATGAATTATTAATTTGAGCTTAATTGAAACCAAAACAATTACATTAATGAATTAATGTTCCATTATTTGAGTGATTTGGAAAGAATATCTTATTGGCATTTTGTTTTTAATATATGAATGAACTATATCCATCTTAGCAATAAAAATACATATTTACTTTGTATTTTTTAGAAACTTTCAAATATGTTGGTCCGTGCATTTTATTTATGGTCGGAAAATTTCATGCGCCATTGGTCCCATGATCTTAAAGTATTGGTCAAAAGGTTTTGATTCCACTTTTATCATTGATTCCATCATATAGTAGAATTCCTTTCAAATTTCGATTCAGACAATTTCTAATCATCGTTTCATTTTTCATAACGACAAACAAAAGTCACAAGACAATCTCTACATCAAATGAGTATATATCTTTCAAAATCTTTTTTAGTCACCATCAATTCTGCGTTATCATGTCAAGGGTCAATCTCAAAAAGTGGTTTGATTTTTTTTGTGTGATAGCGAAGATCATGCTATCAACACCACTAATAATATAGTCTATAAGGAAAATTTTGAAATTTTATAATACTTTTTGTAAGGTATAAAAATTTATTATGACTTCTCTGTTTTACAGTTTTGTGAGACCTACTAATAATTATACCATTATTAATTCCATTACCATGTAGTGTTTATTGTTACACCCTATCGTTTATTTTAAATTTTACTTGCAAATTTTTCATATGAACCAAAATTTTATTTTCCTACCGCTACTACGTAGTATTATATAATAATCAAAGCTACGACATATAAACTTGAAAATCTTTTTTTTATTTGACAAAGAAACACATTACGTATCATCGTAATAAAATATACTTTGTATTTCAAATAAATTGTTATTCTATTCTAGATAAACCCGTGCATCGCACGGGTACCATGTAGTGCTATATAAAAAAAGACATTGATAATCCGTCGTTCATCTCATTCACATATAAATATTACTCTCTCCGTATCACTTTTATTGTCCAATTTTCCCTTTTCGGATGTATCAAAAAGATTGTCCCACTTTCCATTTTAGCAAATAAATCCACTCAAAAAGCAGCTACAGTGCTGCCATAGTACCAAAAAGCTCATACTTTTTCAAAAAGTGTACTGTAAACCTATAAATTTTCTTGAATTACTACAAAACTCTACTGGGACAATAAAACTGATACGGAGGGAGTAATATATTATAAGACCAAAGAATTTCTGATTTATTATATACACATATGTAGGTAGAAGTATATTTGTAGTATAATTTTTATTTTAAAAAAGTATGTATACTTATATATTGAGCGAGGCGGCACGGGTCAATAATAATACCCGGACTTTCCCCATTGAATGGGCGGGGCGGATCCGCCCTATTTGCAATACGGGGCGAGCCGGACCCGCCCCAAATATCTCAGGCCAAGATGGGTGATTGCGGGCTAGTTTTTTTTACATGCCTACAATTACACATGTGCGTGTAAACTCGCGTGTACACGAAGCAAATTCCAAAAAAAAAAACATCAACGACCCAAGCTGTAGAAGCCCATATTCCCTAATCCACTGTCCATCTTGACATTAGGTGACCGTTGAGTCATATTTTACTCCGTATTCAATATTGTCTATGTCGTATCAACTATCAAGGTTCAAATTTAACTGCTCTGATCACTGATGTCCCATCTTCAAACGCTTTAACAGTTTACTCATTTTCAAAATTTAACCTAATGTTCAAAGTTCAAATCGTTAAAAATCTCTCTTATTTCTCCTGACTTCTTCATACGGAGTATAATTCATACTCACAAGAGGTGGGTTTTCTTCTTTTCAGTGGCCCGTACCAATCTACCTCAGGGCTGGAGAGCTTGAAATCGTTCTTAGTAAACAGCCACGAAGAAGAGGAAAGCATCTCAGGTCAGAATTGCAGCATCTTTTTAGGTTCTAAATAAATACACCACTGGCATTCGGATATTTGATTAGTTTATGTCCAAATTATTTGGTTGGAAATTTGGAGGGGAGCTTAGATTAGGGCTCATAGAAACGTGCCTTTCAAATTATATGTATTCTTACAAGGTTGGGAACAACAAACAAGTCAACATATAAAACAGTATAGATAAATGATTCCATTCATCATATACTACGTAGTTATTGTTAATTGAAAGCTTAAAAGTCAAGATACTTCAGTAAAATTAAAACCAATCCACCCCTAAACCCCTAAACCACACAAATCCTAGAGTATTATATGAAGCAATTATCATTTCCAGCTTCGGATTTTGATATGAAATGACGTAATAGTCTCCATAGTGGGAGAAATAGGGAATTGCTGTATGTTGAAGCTCTTGGGTGTAATTTGAATTGTTTCTGGTTGAGCTTAATTAGATGTTGCATGGGTATATGAGTATATCCATTGAAATCTCGTAAGAAGATGAAGGTTTAACTGTTCCGGAATTTTCGGACTTCCCTGTGATGACAATTTGCAGTAATATATTGTTCAGTGTAGATGATGATGCAATGTGCTAACCTTATTTTACCATTCCTCATAACAGGAAAAGATAGGGAGTATTATTTATCTTCTCACATTGTGGGTAAATCAGGGTAAATCTTTTCATTGAACAACTTAATTAGATCCACAACCAATTGTCGATCTCTACTTGTGTCAAACCTCCACTCTTAGGGTAGGTTTTGGGTAGTGTTTTTTGAGTGGTTATCAATTATCATGAGGCTCTCAAGCTACTTGTAATGCTGCCCCATTTTTATCTTATAAAGATTAAATCCTTGTCTTAATATGGTACCAAAGCTAATAAGTGTCAAACATTTAATCTGATCCTTGTCTTCTAGATAGATATTTTGCTAACGAGAAGCTATCTTGCGTTTTGACTTGACATGCTTATTAAGAAGCGTAAAAAAGTGTTGGTGAGAACTAATTTAATATCAATATCCCAGTTCTTTCATTTAAAGGAAAGATGACCCTTATTTTGGAATGGGTGGAGTTGTTTGTAGTTTTTCATTTCAAGTTGGAATTCCAAGATATCATAAATGTCTCACAAGTTGTGGTCTGTTTTTTTACGTCAAACAATGCATTATATTTGTTGAACAGGGAATAGAAAATGCCTCAAAGGAATCCTCTTAGGGTTTCTTCTCAGCTTAGAGTTTCATGCTCTGATGCAGAGCAGCTGCGGGGTCGGCCATTGACTGAACGGAGCCCCAGATTGCTTGGTGATCGTCCATCTCCAAGGGGTTCTCTATCTGACCCGACAGCCCAAAAGAAACTTGGATCACGCATTTCTGACTTAGAAAACCAACTTGGGCTGGCTCAGGAGGAACTAAAATGTCTTAAGGAGCAGTTAACCTCAACAGAGATTGCAAAGAAACTGGTGCGGGAGAAAATTAAGAAGAAAACGATGAAACCAGCTGTTCCCAAGCAAGACTTCCCTAACAATGAAAAAGAAAACAGGCCTGTAAGTGTGGTTTTAGATGATAGCCCGAAAGAATTTGATAAGGTAAGCATGTTTAAGGCCAAACTGGAAGAGAAGGAAAAAGAACTTGCAAACGTCTACAGAGAAAATGAGAGCCTGAAGCAGCAAATGAACGAAGTGGCTATGGAGGCATCATTAGCCAAGATAAAGGAAGAAGAAACCGCTCTCCATTTGAAGCAAGTTAAAGAAGAGCTGGAAACTTCTAGAGACAATGCATCCATGTTGAGTGAAAAGCTAGAAGACAGCGAGAAGGCGAAGGAGGCATTAGAGGCTGAGATGAAGAAGCTGAGTATACAAACTGAACAATGGATGAAAGCAGCGGATGCCGCGGCTTCACTTCTTTCAGGGGACCAGGAGGTGATGATGAATGGGAGAAGGATGTCTGAAAGGTACTGCAAAAGTTTACTTGAACCGGTAGCCGGGGGATATTTGGGACATCCTGTCTTGTTTGATGACTTTGAGGATGCTTCTGAAAGCGGGAAGAAGAAAGGTTCTGGCATCAAAATGTTCGGCGATCTCTGGAGAAAGAAGAGCCAGAAATAAGGGTATTGTTTTTCTTGTTTCTGTTTCCTGGATACTAATTTGGTATATTTTTCTTTTCTATCTGTTGCAATTGAACTTGACTTTGGACTGTTTCACCTTAAACAGGCATGGAAATTGGTATCTATTAGGAGGATTCTACACTTGGTACTTGTTCAACTTTACATCCAATACTTTGGATGTTTTCATGTAGGAATGAACGTTGAGGGTGGGGAAGGATAGTTAGAGCATGTCAATATGTTATCAAATCAATGTAGAGCTAAGTTGCAGTATCCTTGTTGCCCTATTTCCCTTCCGCTTTATTTACAATAATGCTTTGATTTAATAGTTCTTCTGTCTTGTATTAGTTCTGAACAATCACTTAAAGAGAATTGTCAATTACTTTTTCTATTTCTTTTGAAGTACTTTTTGGTAAATATGATTTTCCCATCCGGTATAAATATAAATATTATAAATGGGGAGAGCCGCCTGGTCCAGTTTCAATGGAGGAGTTAGAAAAATATCATGATATACTTTTCATATATGGGGTTGGCGTCAAGTATCTGGTTCTCTAATGACATTACCGTGACACTTCCAAAGAAGATGTCATATGTTCCAATTTAATCTCATTAAAGGTTAAGAATGTTGGTCTTAACATAAAACATATACAATAATAGGTTAAGAAACTCAGGAAAAAAAATATGAGGTGGCCAAAGCTTAGTAAATCCCCAACTACGCCCATGTGTGTAACTAGTAACTAGAACTAAAATAGGCTGGTATGGACACTATGGTGAAGTCTGATAAAATAGAAGAAGAAAAGAATTTGTACACAAAAGTGTACACTTTTTATACGAAATAAATCCAAATATATGACCAAAATAAAAGTAGTGATGCAACATTTGACTGTAATTTTAGTGATTATATCTGTATTCAAATGTTACAATGTAGTGACTATAAAACTTACTCATAGTAATTTGTAGTCATAATTTTTTCATAGATTTTTTATGAAAAAAATATCGATTTCATGGGCGTACTGTCTAGGCCATCGTACTTCAAAACGTCGCTTAGGCCCTTGTATTTCAAAACGTCAATTAGGCCCTTGTACTTCAAAACGTCGATTAGGCCCTCGTACTTCTAAAACACCCAGTTAAAGCCCCGCATTTTTAAAAAACAATCAATTGGGTGTATTAGCCGGTAGAGTCCCGGTTTCCCAGTCAAGGACCCGCGTGGCAGCCTACGTGGCAATTTCTTTTTCTTTTCCATTTCTTCTCCTTTTTCTCTTTTCTTTTTCTCTTTCCTTCTTCTCTTTTCTTCTGCTCTTCCCATTTTCTTCTACGCTCCGCAGGTCACAACTCACGACCTTTTGCATTTCTGCAAGCATCACCGCTGCCTACAGAAGTAAATATAATACATGGACAGCCAGCACACATGCCATTAGCCGGACATCGAACTTCCACTAGTTAAAAAGCCCAATTGAATATCTTTTAAGAATTTGAGGTTTCGGTTGAGTGATTTTAAAGTGCAAGGGCATAAATCCATATTTTGACTATAGTACGAGTATCTATGTTATAGTTTTCCCATATTTATTAGTAATATTTTGGGAAACCTCCATTTTATACATCTCTAGTTGTTTGTGTACACGAACAACTCATTTACATAGTCAACAAATGTTGGTGGACAATAGTGAATATACAAAAAGTTTACATTTTCGGTGTACACAAAAAATTATTCAAAATGGAACCATTTTGGTTTAGAACACTACGGCACCAATCCTTAATTTTTGACCTTTTCATTTTTATTCATAATTTGTTAATTTTTTGACTTAAAACAGTTGGGAACTCGTATGAGAGTTGGGTTGCGGAATATCTTTTAGATATTTTTTTTATGCAGGACAACTGGACAACTAATACTTTTTAGATGATGATATTGGTCAGAATGATGGACTTCTACTCATCTCCGACTATTGAAAAACATCACATTTCGAACTCTGGATATTCTTCTGGCCTTGTAATCCATTGGGCTGCATCGCTTTTCAATTGGGCTGTGTATTTAGATCCTTTAAAAGAGGGGCAGTTCTAAATAGTAAATACAGCCTCCATTTTACTCCATACAACCACCATATCAAAAAAATTATTTAATCTTCCAACTTTAACCTTTTACACCCTTATCATCTGTTCATCACTATCCGACCGTCTCCTCCTCCATAGAAATCAGTGATTCAGCGAAGCCGAGCTCGGGCAGAAGAGAGAGCGGCGGCTTATAGTCCTAGAGGATCATCAATTGTAGCAAGCTCGACAACACCACCCAAATGGAACATCGATGGAAGGTTGCCTCCGGCGAAGGGGGTCGAAAGATGTGACCTTGGAATTATCTAGACAGAAATGGGTATTCCTGAAATTGGATGGACCTCCAAACCGCCATTAATGGCGGAAAATCTCTTGTTTTACAGATAGAATCCAAGTTGGACGAAATTCTTGGTGATTGAGCACAAGTTGACACTTTATGCAGGGTGGGAGAGAGTAGCCCCTCATAATCATCAATCAAAATGGCCAACAACCTCAAATTCAAACAAAATCGATGACACCCATGGATACTAGAAAATCTCTGGATTTGCAAGTTCCATACCGACTGGCTAAGATCGATTGGTCTCGAATTCTCGATGATCATTAGGAAACGTAAAGGATAAAATCATAATTTATTTATTTTTAAATTAAATTGGAGGCTGCAAATAGCATTTAAGGGGCTGTATATAGAATTCCCCTTAAAAGAGTTGGATTTTGAACGGTTATTTGCCCTATCTAAATTAATTAGCTACGGATACAGAACACAGGTCATTGAAAAGCTCATAAGTCGATTTTTCTCTTCCAATAATACATTTTAATGAGTTAGAGCCTTATTTAATTTAACTTATTCCAAAACTATGATGAGGTCATTTATTCCTTATTCCCAAAATCGTTGCTCTAATCCATTGCTACAGTGCTACATAAGTATTGCAAACTAGTACTGGACAAATAATTTATTCCTAATTAAATTAGAACAGTTCACAATATAATAAGCCTATGAAAAAAAGATGTTATTTAGACCAGGGGTGGATCTTCCCTTAGGACTGGTAAGGCCTTGCCCAACCTGGATCTTCCCTTAATGCAATTATTATATACGAAGTATTATATATGTAGTAAATAGGGATGTCAAAAAAACCCGACCCGCAATGACCCACCCCGCCCCGTCTTGCAAATGGGGCGGGTCCGCCCCGCCCCGTCTTGCAAATGGGGCGGGTCCGCCCCGCCCCGCCCCGCCTATACAATGGGGCGGGTCCGGGTATTAGAATTGACCCGTTCCGCCCCGACTCGACCCGCTCAATATATAAATATACATACTTTTTCTTAACTTATACTACAAATATACTTCAACATACATATGTGTGTATACAATAAATCATAAATTCTTTGATTTTATAATATATGAATATATATTAGAATGAGATGCACGACGGATTATCAATGTCTTCTTTATTAATATAACTAATTAGATTAACTATTCAAGTTTGGGTAATTTTTTCTTAATTTTTGAAATTTTTAGCGTATCATGAATTTGATTTAATATATTGAGTTTTAATTATTATTTAGAGATAAACATTATGTAGATTCAATTGGTAACAACTTCCTACAAATAAAAACAAAAACTAGCTAATTAAGTTACGGCGGGGCGGACCCGCCCCGCCCCGCATGGGGCGAGTCATGGGTCAACAAGTTTGGACCCGTGCAGGTCACGGGGCGGGGCGGACCCGCCCCGCCAAGTCATGGGGCGGGTCCGGGTCTTGCAATACCCGCCCCACCCGGACCCATTGCCATGCCTAGTAGTAAAGTGAGGAAATGAGGTCTATGCTCGAAAAAATAAACTAACAAGGGTGCCTTTTTTACCTTTTAACTTTTAAATTTGACTGACTTCTTAACAAAAGTTATTGATAATGAAGACTTTTATCTACAACAACTTGAATCATTTGATTTAGATCATTCAATCAAAAGGTATGATTGAAATGGTGAAAGATGTTCATCCTGAAATCTCAACAGCGGTTGCCACTCTTCAAGTCATGGTATACTCAAGTCATGGTGTATTCATAAAATTTGTTCTTCCGTGTCTGATTTCACCTTCATATTCAAGTCATGGTGTATTTCCCTAACTTTATTCTTCCCTCCAAACTCAACATCCTCGAAAAATTCGGTAGTTCCCATTTCAAAAATATTTCTATCATCAGCATTATGAAATTATATCCCCTAGATCGTTCCGAATAGCCAATAAAATAACTACTAACCGTTTTGGGTTCCAGATTCTTTTCATGTGGCCTATATGACTTTGCTTCAGCTGGACAACCCTAAATGTGAAAATTCTTTAAACTAAGCTTTTTACCCGTCCAAAGCTCATAAGGTGTTTTAGTAGTTGCCTTAGTTGGCACTCGATTAAGAATGTAAGTTGCGGTCTTCATTGCCTCACCCCAGAGGAACTCTGACAAGATAGAATGAGAAATCATACTTCTTACCATTTCTTTAAGGGTTCTATTACATCTCTCAGCTACACCATTCATTCTAGGTGAACCCGGCATGGTGTATTGAGGGACAATCCCACATTCCTCTAGAAATTTGGCAAAAGGTCCTGGATGTCGTTCAGCTGAAACAACTATTAAAAGTATCCACTTTTAATAGTACTTTAAAAGTCAAGATCCATGCAGCCCAAAGTTATTAGAATATTTTCTTTCTATTCCTTAAAATTAGTACCATTTAGGACAAGGATGGAGTTGAGATTGATAGATATACTCGAAAAATTTACTGTAGAAAGAACAACGACAATGAACATACGTTTTAGTGAAATTGTAAAATGATTTCTAACCCATTACAAGATACCAAATGAGCTCTTAGTATGTCATCTTTAGACAATAATACTAATTGCTAGCGGTAGTCTTGTTGTAACAATAAAATATAACAATAATACATATAAAAGAAAAATCCACCTTTGGGTTGACTTTTTCTTTATAAAATGCAACCTTATAATTGTTGCATATTTATTATTACCAAAATGTGTGTGTGTATATATATATATACATATATATATATATATATATATATATATATATATACATACATACATATATATATATAACTTAATGAAATATTAATCTACCTTTGGGCCGGTTAATTATCTACTTCAACTATATATACCATGTTTAATATTTTATATGAGCAACTTATACAATAAGATCACTTTGGTGACATATTGTTTTTATATACCCATTTTAAATACTAATTAAACTTTCTTTTATTTTACAATTTCCCTTAAAAATGTATATATTTGTATTAACGTACTTCGAAAAATTAGTGTGGCACTGAGCTTGATTCATAAGATTATATTTGCACATGAACAACGACAATT